AAGTGCTCAGTCGATTCATTGTATTTTCCGTTAGCGCTTTCACTTTTATGCCTTCATTTTTTTTATTAAGAATTTAAAGCTATTCAGAGAAGGTGGAACTGGCATTTTTGAAGTTTTTAGTCATTATTTCTCTTGTTTGTTGCTTTTACCGAGTAATCTCCTGTTCAGTGATTATCTTTGTCAGCTTTAACTCTCTTTGTTACCTGATGTGAAGTTTTTTAGAAGATGGGGAACTGTGTTAGTCAAGGAGGTCAAAAGGAATTTCTAAAATCTCTTCGAACGTCGGCTGTCGACAGTGTTCTTCTTGATGATCATAATAGTTTCCTCGTATATGTGAGGAAAAGACACAAATTTATGCCAGGTATTTTGTTTATGAGTTTGCGTTCGTTCTATAATATTTTTAGTGATATTGAAATTATATCTACTTTGTGAACAGCGATTGAATTTTTGTTTTAAAATTTCTCAAAACAACTTCACTGTTTTTTACAGCTCTTGTTTTATCTTTGTGTCGTTCCAAATTTTTAATGATAACAAAAGCTTGAAGAATTTTTTCATGATTTTTATTCATTTTGCAGGCGTTCTAAAAGTGACGGACAGAGAAATACTGTTCTTTCATGGCGTCAGCGATGTTGAGAGTTGGCCTTTTTTATATCTTCGCCGTTACGGTTTTACATCTGGTGGTGTTTTCTTTTTCGAAAGTGGTCGTAGGTATGGAATTTTTAGGCCTGTTATATGCTACTTCGGGCTATAGTATTTTATTGCTTATTGAAAGTATTTTAAGTCTCGTGCCATAAATTATAGGTGTTCTACTGGTGAGGGTTTGCATACGTTCCAAACTTATCAGTCTGAAGTGATATTTCAGGTACTTTCAGGAACTCTGATTTTGATTGGAAAATTCTTTTTAATAACAATAATATCTTGAATATGCACATGCCAAGAGATTTTTGCTTCTGATAACATTCTTGTAGACAGTTTAAAATTGCTCTGCAGCTGGTTCAATCTCGGATACAGGATAGCGCTTCAGTAAATTCGGCAGCGAGTGACCTTGCAAGGCAGTCAATTGTTGATAATCTAAGGAATGCTTGTTTATACCGTACTGGTCGAGTTCCTGCTAATTCGCGCATTCACCCATTGCAGAGATATTTCTCTGAAGGTGTTGTATTTGACAGCCTTGCAACTTCTTTTGTAACATATGGTGCCTCTTTTTGATGTATCTAATAGTTTAAAAGTACCTTTTAGGCATAAATACCATCGACGGAGCATATAGAGGTTTTCGGTTACATCATCACTTTCTTCACCCTCATCATAAGCATGCGCATCCGTGTATTAACCGCCCACAAAGTTTCTCTGCTACAACGAGTTCTAGGAGGTTTTGATTTCTTCACTATTTATGTTCTTAATGTTTATTTGTTGATTGCCATTTTTGTTAGAAGAACACTGAAGGGGCTATATGTTATTCTTGTTCAGGAGAAATGATAATTCCAAGGTTTTGGTTATGAACAGAGATGGGCATTCGTATGCGAATTTTAGAGTGCAACTCCTTTGTTCGTCTTTTTCTGATAATCGATCAGGGACGTTCGATTTTGCATGGTAAAAGAGTCATTTTTAGGATGATTTTGATTCCAAAAGCATATTTTCTTTCCAATTACTGGATCAAAATTTAATTTTATTCTTCAATTTTTCAAATCCTGCAGCGAAAAAGTTGGGTGTTGGTTCTATTGAACGGGTTTTGAATTGTATTCTCTTTTTTTTAAGTAAAAATGAAACTTCGCTGAATGAGACAGAGTTGGCACGTTCTCAGTCGGAAAACAACTCTGCTGTTTGCGACCAGTGCTATTTCGGCCGATATGTTAACGTTCACGAGGTAAGATTAACAGCTGCGTTTTGAACTACAAATAACAGGTTCTTTGTTTGAACAACTTTAAATTTTCTAACTATATATTTTTTTGGAATTTAGGTAACGATATGTAAGCATCTCTTGTCTTCAAAGGAACTATCATCTCCAACTTTAGATTATGCATCTGTTAATATACCGCAAAATCCTGATAAAGGGTCGCTACAAACAAGGTTTGGGGGCATTAGTTCTTGTTATTTAGAAATTTTGCGGAACAGGAGGTAACAGATAAAGTAATATAGTTTATGAAAGGAATAAACCTAATTATTTGAGGAGAATTTCGTAATAGGTTCTTATAATTTTTTGTTTTTGTGGTTGCTTCTATGCAGATTGCTTCTTTGGTACTAATCGGAATTAAAATGTAGTGGTTCCGGATCAAATATTTCTGACAGTTTACATTTATCACGTGGAGCTAAAACAGTCGATTACTCTGAAATTGATCTGGAGAGAACTCATGCCGCTGAAATTGCGTCGAAAGTCTCAGAGTTGGAAAATCCGGAAAGGCATCACTCCTCAGTTCCGTGATGTCAAGTATTTGCTACTATCTTTGATATATTTATTTCTGTATGTTGAATATCGCGATTACTTGTTGAGATGTGTTAAGATGTATAAAAATTTTAAAACTTTTGCATATTAATTCTTTAAGGATATGGATACTAGGTAATAATAACCATAAGCCTAGGTATTATAAAAAAAAAGATTGATGTTTATTTTTAAATTTACCAATTTCTTGTAGATATGAGGCCAGCTGCGTCTCAATTTGTATTTGGCCTTTTACTCTATGCTGAAGTTGTGCTATTTTTATTTGTATATTCAATCAGAATTTCCGGTGCTACTGTAATTGGTAGTTTTGAATAGAAAAGTTTTGGTACCGGAAAGTAAACAGAGCGAGGAAACTTAAACTAATGAGGACAGTATAAGCTTGTTCTAGAAACACATCGAAAAACGAAGCCGAAAAGTAACATTTTTGCTTTTTTATATTGTTGTTTAAATTAAGTATTACATGGACAGGTTCAATGAAGCTACGGCCTAAAGCGTTAGAGGGTTTTCAACTTTGAAGACTGCGGTCCTTATTCAATTTTTAATGCTTCAGTTTTCTTTCGTTGTCGTCTAGATTAAATTTAGCGATGAAAAAATTGTGCGCAAGGTAATATAATGGTGGCTGTTTCCTGAACTTGGGTATGGCAGAAGTGTACAGGGTCGGTAGTAATACTGTTGAGAGTAACCCGAATAATATAATAGGCCAAAGAAGTTTTTTTGGCAAAAAAAATGATTGGAGAGAAGAGACCAGC